CCTGGGCTGGGGAGACTGAGAGAGGGGGGGGGGGGGGGGGGGGGGCGCAACAGGACATTCCTTCGTCTCTGCTTTCTGACTGCAGGTGCAATATGACCAGGCACTGCTTGCTCCTGGGACCATGCTTTTCCCTAAGGAGCTGGACTACATCCCCTTTGAATTTCAAACCAAAATAAACCCTTCCTGAAGTTACTTTTGTGAGGGGAGTGGGTTGCAGCAGTAAGAAACTCAACTTGGCTTCATTAAGTAGAAATGAAATTATTTGCTGGGCAGTGGGGGGTCATGGGGTTTATTCTGGCACATGGGAGGCAGAGGCAGGCAGATCTCTGTGAGTGTGAGGTCAGCCTGATCGGCAAAGCTAGTTCCAGGACAGCCAGGGCTGTTATACAGAGAAATGCTGTCGCCAAAAACCAAAACAACAAAAACAAAAAAAAAACGAAAGAAAGAAAGAAAGAAAGAAAGAAAGAAAGAAAAAGAAGAAACAAAATGAAATGAATTGCTAGGTGTCCCATTGAGGACAGTTAGGATTCCAAGCCAGACATGTCTATTGAAAATTTCCCTGTTCTCCCTATCCTCCACTTCTTCTGGTTGTAGGACATGCCAGCCCTAATTGTTCTTTTGTTTGATTTGTTTTGGTTTTGGTTTTTGGAGACAGGGTTTCTCTATGCAGCCATGGCTGTCCTAGAACTAGCTCTGTAGGCCAGGTTGGCCTTGAACTCAGGGATGCACCTGCCTCTGCCTCCTGAGTGCTGGGATTAGAGGCATGTACCACCACCACCTGTCTAAATTTTTTATTTTATTATTGTGTGGATTTTATATAAGTGTGGATGCACACTTGCTATGGCACATGGAGGTCAGAGGACAACCTTTGGAAGTTGGGTCTCTGTCCCACTGTCTTCTGGGGATTGAAATCAGGTCATTAGCACTGCGTGGCAAGCACTTACAACCCTGAGCCATTTCACTGACACCCAGTAATAAATTCTCAACACTTTTAAGTTCAGTACAATGTTCCATCATTTTCATTACCAGTTCAGAGTTTTGCTTTTTGAGGTGGGGCCTCTCTATGTAGCTTTGGCTGGCTTGGAGCTCACTATTGTAGACTAGGCTGGCTTCAGACTCAGAAATCCACCTTCCTCTGTTTCCTGAGTGCTGGGACTAAAGGCAGGCACCAACATGCCAGGCGGTTCGGATGTTTTAAAAGAGAGGTGGTAGACTGACTTTTCCTCCCAGTAAATCTTCAGGGGGACCCCAGGGATGCTCTGCTCTGTTGTTTCCCTATTGTTTCATCAAAAGGCTGGGGGAAATAAACAGCAAACAAATTTGCTCATTTCCTTTCAATTCAGCCCTTCACTACCCTCAACGAATACATTCCTTTGCTTTAAAGTCTAACTTACAGGAACAAGTAGAAGTCCGTCCTCTCTAAAAAGAATTATTTTTCTTAGAGTGTTTCAACTTTGATGGGCAGTCAGATCTGTGGGAGTCTGCTGGCCTCCCTTGGAGAGCTCACAATCAAGCAGTTTGAAGTTCATGTTTGTGATTCTATGAGTTTTCATCTTAAAGCAGTTTGCGGACACTACAAACTTTGGTCAAGAAAACACCACATCCCGCAGTGCTGAATTAGGGGGACTCTCCCTGGAGCCGGCAGGACCTTCCCAGTACCAGACAGACTGCCTTCTGAGGGTATGTGTCATGTGACACTTAGCACAAATGAAGTATTTACCGAACCGGAGGTGTTATCTCCCGTCTAGGTTGGTCTCCAAGCCCAAACAAGTGAGATGATGCAATTAATTCTGCCAGGGTCTGGATGGACTGTTTGCACAAACCTGGGCAGGGCGATTTTTGGAGCCGCCATAGACTTGGCTGGATTCAGGCTTTGCCGTCTCTAATTGCATGAAGGGCTCGCCTGGATCCTGCCTTAGTGGGGTCGCGGTAACCGGTTAAAGAAATTCTGCAAACAAACCGCTCATCACCAGGGCCCTCCCACGGCGGGAGAGAAAAGTAGCTTTGGCGGGAAAGAAGGGGGCGGGCACAGGGCGGCGGAAGGGGTGGATGCAAGTTCTGTGCTTGGCTCCGCAGGGACACAGACTGGTCCACACGACCTTCCAGGAGTCCTCGGAGGAAACCCACGCTGCCCCTCAGCAATCCGGGACTTGCAAGCGGTGGGCGGACAGCCCAGTGACTCGCGCGCCCGCCCGGACTCTCCGACTTTCCCCGGGACACGCCGCGCTCGGCCCCGGAAGCCCAGGCACTGGGCGCGCTTTTGGAGTCCCGGGCGCTCGCTCGCTCGCATCTCCACGCTCGGCGACACGCCCCTCTCGGTGCTGCGACATGCCTCGGAGGACCCGCCAGGAGGTGGACGCGACGCTGCAGGTGGCCAAGCTGAACGCCGCCGAGCTGCTGCCCACGGTGCACTGCCTGAGCTTCGGCCCCGGCAGCAGCGGCGCGGCCGCCGGCGACTTCTGCCTGCTGGAGCTGGAACCCGCGCTGTGCCAGCAGCTGGAGGCCGGGCACAGGTGAGCCGCATGGGGGCCCCGGGCGCGCGATCCCCCGCCTCCTGCGGGCCACAAATACCTGCTGCGTTTGGTCCTGGGGTGGGGTGGGGTGGGGTTGGGGTGGGGGTGTCACCGAACGAGGAAGCGGACCAGAGAGTTGCTTTGATTGGGCCAATGCAGACTGGTGGGCGGATCTCCAGCTTGCTGTCATCTGCCTGGAGGAATCCATGCCTCTGCTAGCAGGACTCAGCCAGCGGGAGAATGTCAGGAAGAGAGCTCCAGGGAGTTCGGAGGACCTTAGCAGTGATGCCAGGAAGAGAGCTCCAGGGAGTTCTGAAGGCCTTAGCAGTGATGCCAGGAAGAGAGCTCCAGGGAGTCCTGAAGGCCTTAGCAGTGATGCCAAGAACTCTACAGAGCACACAGTTGTTCTCTCTCAGACTATAGGAGCAGCATCCATATAGAGAGTTCCTGCCTTCCACTTGGGCTTCTTTTACTCGGACAGTAGTGGGACAGATGAGGTTTAAGATTAAAGCCTAATGCAGTCTTGGTTGGAAGTCACTGACTGAAGATCTGGAGCTGTTTCTAATTCCAGACCAATTGCAAGTTTGCTTGCAAAGACCTTGGCTTTTAGCACCTAGGGACCCTGACTGGGCTTAGTGATAAAGTGCTTATGTTATCGGATCAGGCCATAGGTTGGATCCCCCGTCCTGTTGAGGGTGGGGTGAAAAATGGTGGCTGGCTGAAAATATGGGTCATGGTTAAGAGTATTTTCGGCTCTCCCAGAGGCAAGCATCTTTATTGAATGAGCCACCCTGCCACCCTCCTCAACCAGCTTTGGGTCCGTTTATTTTGTGCAGACCTGACTCCTGCAAGTTGAGTCCTTCTTGTATTTACTCAGGCATTGTTCCCGCCCCTAGTTCATTTTAGCTGGATCATCTAAGCGCCCTTTGAGTTTGTGTAGCTGACCCATTGGGGTAGTGTTGTAGTTCATCAGCCACACACTGGCCACAAAATACCCTCAAGAGCATTGCCCCAAAAATGTTATTTATCTGTTTCCACCCACCTGTACTGGAGATTAAGAAGGACTCAAGGTGTGAAGGATCTTTTCTTTGTTGGGTTAATTTATAGTAATATTTAATTTAGTTGGTAAAACCAAGATATTAAAACATGCTTTTTAACCCTCCCCCAAGAGAGAGTCTCTAGCCAGGCTGGTAGTAAACTGACTAGGTAGCCAAGGATGACCTTGAACTTCTAATTGTCTTGCCTCCGACTGTGCAGTGCTGGGATTATAGGTGTGCTGGACAGTGAACTCAGGACTTTGTGCAATCATTCTACCACGGGAGTGAGCTACATCCCCTAACCCTGTGTGTCTGTGTGTGTGTGTGTGTGTGTGTG